AATCGGCTAGCTAAAAATTTAAATGATTCTTTAGCCGGTAAATTTTATTTCAGTATGACTCCATTTTGAATTTATCGATATCTCTAACCACAAATTTCAAATTTTGAATACCCTATACATATATAGATTTTTTGTTCTTTGAATCATTAAATGTTAGATTAATTGATTGTTATTATATAGACGAAATACATAAACAGCCCCTCCAAGTTATCCACAACGGTCATTTGAACATCTTAACTTGTCATGTGACCAGATATGCACCTCTGCTTGGTAGAAGTATATTCTCTTAAACCCCTTACGCTGATATGGCAAATTTTGTGTGTTACACTTACATCTAAGCTCGTGAAGATCTTTAAATTAGGCTTATCTTCTTTTTTCCCCTAAAATCAATGTGGACCCCACTATTACACCACCCCATAACCACGATTCTGGACGGGGAGGTTATTGCCAACAATGGAGGGTGTCGGAGAGAGGGAGGATCTCGGCGAGGCTGTTGCCGACGATGCTTGTAAGTGTAATATTGCTCTCCCCTTTCTCTCTTCTTTCCTTCATTCATCACTCCCTTTCAGCTCCTCCATATATTTCTCTCCCCCTCTCATTTTAATTTCATCAGCAAGTCTCTCCAAACCTAACCAAATTCACCAGCCAAAAAACTTTCAGTTCTAAACCAAAAGCTTTTACTTTGTCATTCTTTTTGCCCTTGTTTTTATCGCCTTCTCTCCAGTTTTGTCGTCGGTTGAATCATCAACGTTAATCTCATCAACTGGGTAATTAACGCTTACCCAGTTGAGCAAAATTCACATAAAGTTCAAATTTTCCACTTTCAGTTTGAATTCTTGATTACATAGAAAAAATGGAGTTTACATCAGAGAAACTTTCTCCTTTTGATTTTATGGCAGCGATCTTTAAAAGTGGAAAGATATTCGATCAACTAAACTCATCATCCAATTTCATGGAAGGTGCTAGGAAATCAGTGAGAGGGATTATTTGGGGGGAAGGGGAAGGGGAAGGGGGCGAGAGGGGCGAGTGAGAAGGAAGAAGATGAAGGAGGGGGGTTGGTTAATAATAAAAAGATTATTTTAATGTATTTAGTTTATATTTATCAAAAAAATTATTATAAATTACACATGTCATTCTTTAATTAGTTCATTTGACATGTCACTGGCAAGTGCAATTCACACATATAGTCTGCGAGACTCGAGTGTTCACAAGATACATTTAATAGCCACTTGAAATGTTAAAATGAAAAAGGGATCAGTTAAGGTGTTCAAATGGCCGTTATGGACAACTTGGAGGGGTTGTTTATGTATTTCGCCTATTATATAACATTGCACATTTTTCACCATACTTGGCTTAACCTCAATGCAAACTACTTAAATTACAATAAAATTAAAATTCAAATATCATATCACTTTGTTAGCAATAGTGATTTTTTTAAAACGACACACAATGTAAATAAAAAAATATTCTAAGATAGTCTTATCTTATAATCTATGTATTTGAGTTGAAAAAAATATTTGAAATCAATGAGATCATCTTCCAAATTTTTTACACTCAACAAAGATGAAACAAAAGAAGAAATTCGTTGTCGTCTCTTATTTCTGGTTTTTAGATTTTTCATACATTTTTTCTATATTTATTTTCTTTTATCTTATTTTTTTATGTTTTTCTTTCTTTTGTTTTGTTACACAAAATTAAGTTATTTCGTAATAAAATGATGAGTTTTAATAGAAATTGTCTACATGTGAGCTCTATTTATATTTTTAATCTTTCATTGAAATTTTGTCATATTTTTCTTTTGGCTTTATCTTATCAACCTGAACAGGAGCTCACCCAACCACTTAAACTAAAAAATTGAGGATGTGTAATTTATTTATAATTCATATGTAACATGTGTATAATCGTGTGTAATAGGTATATCATCTATGTATATTAGCTATAAAAGGTAAATAATAAATCTGGCCGGATATTTATGTAATAATCCATAAGATTTTGGTTTCTTGATTTTATTCATGATATGACTTCTATTATAATTATTTTAAAAACTCTCTACTAAAATTTAAAAATATCTTATCTTTTATTTTAAAAATTACGTTATAATTTAAAAAATAATCTCATTTCGAAATAATTTATTTACATTTTAAAAATAACTATTTCACGTCATACCAATTTTTTTAAATATACTTTTCGTTACACTTGAAAATCGCTATAGAAACTATTAATTAGAAAACATTATCCCTCATTTTGAATTCGAGAAAAAAATCTTTCACATAATCTAATGATTCAAAACTAATATTTTTCAACGAAAAAAATACTACACCCTTGCAATGTTGGTTTGACTGCAGCTAAATGAAAATGTTTCGGCTTATATTCTTCCATTCCTAGAAGGTGTTAAATAGAAATTAATCAATTATATAGTCAAAGTTTTGTTATTTGTTTGATGTCCATTTATATAAATTGACTCTTCAAACAAACATTATTCAAAAAGAAAAAAACAACTTGTGTTGAATATTGATTGATTTTTGTAATGCTCTTTGTCCAGCATGTAGGTTTACTTCATTATATATGCAAGTGAATTTTTATCAACATTTAAACTTTTTTTTTTGTTATAAAAATAGACGTGTACCTTATATATTATATTTATTTTAAAAGAAATTCGCTTTATTCAAACATAGCTATAGTGTTTTAAAGAATTATAATTATAGGATTTAAATGTAAAAGAGTTTATAGTTATATGGAGTATTATTTTTTTTGACAGAGGCGAAGTAGTATTTACATAATTTGAATTAAGATAACAAAAGTTCCTAATATAATTGCATNAATATAGAATAAAGTTACCATATACTATTGATATTTATTAATTTGCCACTTGGCTTAACTACATAATCAATTATATATGGCAACTTTATAGCTTTCATATGGCAACTATATATAGATGTCATTTATTGTTGCGTGTTATTATTTAATACCATATTTTATCTTTTTGGATCATTGAATACTGACATTATTGTTTACGTTCATTGTCATCTGGACAAACATACAAATTATTTGTCATAAAACCGATAGCTTTGTCTTTAGGATATTATTATTAGCTACAATTGACTTTTCTTTATTTAAATCTAATTAGTTAAACTAAGATCTATAATTTTGGTCAAACAGAATTTATGCAAAAAATTTGCTTAGATAGTTGTTTCTTCCTAGAATTTTATGCTGATCACAGTGTTAGTGATCACACATGCTCTCACTTATATATGCTGCTTAAAGTTAAATATTTTAAAAAGTGATAACTAAATAAAAAATTCTACCAACAACAGAAATGCTAGGGAAAATAGAATTATACAAAAGTCATGTTAACAATATGTCTAGTATGACGAAATATGAAAGATATTTTTTGAAAAATAAGTTGAGACACTTATGAAGGAAAATGATTTAGGCGAAAAAAAGTGAGAAAATTATTTTCTTTTTATTCTTTGTCCACTCACTTAAAAACTTCTTTAGAAATAAGTTGTAAAAAAATAAGTCTTATTTTAGAAATTATTTTTGGAAAACTATTTCTTTTCTTGTCATACCAAACATGGCGGATATTGGAGTGCTGGCGAACATTCAAAATTCTTCGCACGTGCTGTCAGTAAAACTCAAAATTACCATTTTCTTCCACTTCCTTTTTTCTAAATTTTCTTCTCAATTTCTAAAACGGAAAAGGCCTAAAAATGTCACTCAACTTTCTTAAATGATTTATCCAAACTATCCGTTAGAAAAATACTATTTTCATGCCACTGCCGTTACAAAAATGGTCCATCTATGCCATTATTTGACTAACCGATTGATTTTTTTTAGATATTTATAAGACTTGAATTTCCACGTGACATGTCGTCATGGTCCGAATTAACCCATGCCCCATTTAATTTTAACTTTGGTTAGGTCCATCTAATTTTAACCTTACCCAAATAATTAACCCAACCCAACCCTTCCAAATCCCTCTCCAGTTGTCTTCCCAAATCAAAAATCCCTAAAACCTCCATTAAATTCAATGGAGGTTTTAACATTCCTGACTTTGATCAAATTCTAGAAAGCAGATAAGACTACGTACAGACACGTACCTTAATAATAATCAAATGTGCAGGAAGGTTTACACCCCATGCTAACGTACTTGTACAGACTAACAACTAAAAATTTGCAGCCAAAATGACTCAAATATAAGCTTCAATTTCAGTATATTATTGCTCCTAGAGATCTAAAATTTTCAGATGATATAGTTGCCTCAATCTTGTTGTCTGCAAATAGTTCCTCGACCAATGATCTGTTTTTATCATTCAGTCCAGCACGGTGCAATCCAATTTCAAATTGTAAGGTGTGCTTTAAGTTATGGTCTGTGACTTGAAAAAGAACCATCTGAAGTGCATCTTCTGGCATGTTTATGAACTGCCTCAGGTGCTCATCTGAAGCTGCAAACTTTGAATTCAGAAAGAAAACATAACAGATTAGGCAGAAATTAAATTTAATGGAGGTTTTAGGGATTTTTGATTTGGGGAAGACAACCGGAGAGGGATTTGGAAAGGTTGGGTTGTGTTAATTATTGGGGTAAGGTTAAAATTAGATGGACCTAACCAAGAGTAAAATTAAATGGGGCATGAGTTAATTCGGACCAATGACGATATGACATGTGGAAATTCAAGTCTTATAAATATTTTATTAAAAAAATTCCAGCCGTTAGTCAAATAATGGCATAGATGGATCATTTTTGTAACTATAATGACATGAAAATAGCATTTTTTTAACGGAAAACATAAATATATCCTTTCAGAAAGTTGAATGACATTTTTAGGTCTTTTCCGTTTCTAAAATTTCCTTTTTTAAGGCGCCTGCTCGTATTGTCTAAAAACTAAAAAGTAGTTGCGTCTGCGGTCAGAAAATTTAAGGAATGCTGTGCTTATCAAACTGGGCTTCGGAAGCTCAACCGTCTAATCTTTGTCACTATGTATTGACAAATACACCCCTGCTAATTCGACAGAATAACAACAAACCTTATTCTTCTTCTCAAAGGCTGCAGCGCTTCACACGCAAATTCCACCATTCCACAATCCGCATCTATACTGAACACAACAATTCGCACATTCTTTCATTTCACTGAGTTGACTCGTCAGCCATGTCCGAGTCCGACCAGCAGCGAACTCAGAAGGACGATCCGTTCCTCCTCAATTACAATCCCGAAGAACTCCGAATCGCATCAGAGTTTCTGTCCAATTGGCTTCCCTTTCTCTCCCGTGACCTCTGCCACTCCTGCACCAACACCCTCTCCGATCGCATCCGATCCCTCAATTTTAGTACTTTCTCTTTCTCTTTCTCTATTTTTTGTATTCTTTACATTAATATGTGTTAATGCATGTGTAATCAATTGATATAAACTCTGTAGCTCATGTACTAATTCTCACAATTTGCATTAAGTTCCCTGCTTTTTGTGCTTGGACGAGTTTTTCCTCTAGAGACAGTGTCTTAATTCAAGTTTGCTTATTTATTTGGCTTTTGATTAAATTTATTATTAAAGTTGTTGTTTTTTGGGAGGTATTACTTACTTTTGAAGATTGTTGTAGATACCATATGCAAAGTTAAAGTTTCTTTGGTAGATAACGATGGGCCAAAAAAAATTGAATTCTGCTTTGTCTTGCTTATGTTTTTGGATATACTTTAATGATGAAGTGTGAAAGTTGTTGATTTAGTGAATTTTTCTGATCAGAGATTTTGTTGGTATGATTGCAGAAGTTGGTGGTGATGCAGAATGCTTGAAGCAACCAAAGAATATCAGTGTTTTGACTCCGGAACGTTGTGACTCGGATGGATGCAATGGGAGTCAAGAGAATTGTGACAACAATTCACTTGGAAGTTGGAATGATTGTGGCGACTTGAATGATAATGCAGATACAAACTCATTGGGGAGTTGGAAAGACGGGGCTGGTGGGGGGGAGCCATTTGAGGAGCCTTCCGTGGACAGGCATTCATCTGACAGTTGTATAGATGGTGCAGATTCCGTTTCTCGGCCTGTTGGAGAGGCAACTACAAGTGAAGCATTCAGCTCATCCTTACCTGTGACTACCCCGAAAATGAAGATGTCATGGGCAGATATGGCTCAGGAGGATGAGCTTCAAGCAGAGGAAGTGAGTGAGTCAATTGCCTTGAGTAGTCAGGTGAATGGTGTGTCTGAAGAGGAAATTACTACTCCGGAGAGTAAGCCAAAAACAGAATTGTCAAGGGAACAACGAGAGTACATTAGATTCTGCAATGTGAAGAGGAAAAAGGATTTCATATGTTTGGAGAGGGTGAATGGGAAATTCGTGAACATACTTGATGGATTGGAGCTGCATAAGGGTGTCTTTAGCGCTGCTGAGCAAATTAGAATAGTTAAATATGTAGAGAAGCTTGATCAGATGGGGAAGAATGGTGAATTGAAAGGTATATTTTATCCTTTATACAACTCTCTTAATCATTTTTTTTCTATTTTCAAATGAATGTTGTTGTCATGTTGAGCTTGGCAAAGCATAGTGAGTCCAAGCCGGGATTAAGGAGCAGGGAGCAATAGCTACTAGCTAGACGGCCAACATACAATAATCTTATTATGTGAGGGATGCGATGATACCAGCACTTATCTGCTGGATCACATAAGAAGTCCGGAGTTATGTGTGCTTGGACAGCAGTGATACAAGGATTGGCATCCCTTGTGGGGCCAACTAGTTTAAGACAGGCATAGTTGCTTGATTGATATCGTCTAGCTGTGTTGATGTTTGATCTTCAAATGTAATTGAGCAGGTGTTTCTGTGAACCAGAACACACATATTTATCCACTTTGTTGTTGTTAGACTTGTTTTAACATTAGACAATTAGTAGAGTGTTCGATGATTGGTATTAGCTAGCGGATTCCCTTCTTTTTTCCAATTCATTGACCAGAGGGCTAAATAATTTGTATTTCTAGCATAGATACGAAGGTTATTTGTCAAATGCATATGTGTTTCTAACAATTCCGATCTGGAATAACGTTTTCAATGTTACTATTGTTGTTCATGCCTTTATCTTCATTTTGGCAGATGGTCATCCAGTTTGCATCCTATGCTATTTAGATGCTAATGTTTTTCAAGTAGGGTGATTGACATGAAGTTATTGCATTAGTTTAACTATAGGAAAAGTAAGAAACGAATTCGGCTTTGCTTGAGAGAGGATGAAGCTATTGCATCAGCTTGCACCTTTTCTACCTATCAGTATCTTTTACTATAAGACTCCTATGTAAGAGAACTTACTTACTACCTATTCGAGAGGATCTCAGATTCAACGTTAGTGGCTGTGTATCTTTCAAATACCTTATTAGTTATTTCTCCTTTTGTCTGTTATTGAGAGTTACAGTACGTGAAACATTTCATCATTGTATGTTAAAGCTAAGCTGGTCTGGGCATCCCAGACTTCCAAGTGTTGAAATGGGGAATCTTGTCTTAGTAAATTTATCCTATTTTAGTTTTTTCTTAGTGATAGCACAATGTCTTCTATGTTAATTACCAGACATTAAAGACATGAAAGAAGAGATGGGCTGAGAAAAATAACTGGTTAAAATTCAATGTATCAGATTAACTGTCAACAGGAAAATAGATTGTGATATCTTTTTAAGGTGGTAATATGCTGCATGAGAAATCTGTTTCGTCTTTTTTTGGATTTGATGTGAATTAAAAAAATGGCTTGTGTTACTGTCAGATGTGTGTAGATTCATTATACATACCTGGATTAATTGCATAGGATTTCTAATAGATTATGTTTAATGGTGTGCCAAAATGAGAAATCCAATGATTAGGAAATTTTCCTTGTTTAATGTGCCTATACTCATAAAAAAAGAGCCTGCTTCTATGTTGTTAATACCAATACATCTAGAGTTTTACCATCAAATTTTTCTTGATTCAGCTTAGAAATTTCTCCCTTGTTAACAAGGGTATCATAGAATTTTGTGAGTATGGTATAGGAAAGAAGAATTTCAAAGTAAAAGTTGAGGCATAACTATGACTTTTCATTGGAAAATGTGGAAGTAGTTGACAAGGTGCACATTTTACTCCGTTGACTAAATTGTGTTTTTTTTTAAGAATGACATGCACCTCTTCTTTTTCAAGATTTTCCTAAAGTAGTTCCCACTCATTCTAATTCAGTAATTCTACTATAGTTCAATGGCCATTTCTCTTCCTCGTGGCTCCCTTCATCAATTAGTTTGATCTGGTTTTGTTTTTCCTTTATACTTGTGAAGAGTGTGAAGCGGAAGATGTTTTTTTAGCTTCCTCCTTAAATTTCCATTTAAATTTGTTTGTTAAGTTCTTTCAGTCATTTTTAGTTATCTCATGGCTCTTACATGCCTTTGCTGATTGTTTAGAGAGGACTTATACTGCGCCAGCAAAGTGGATGAGGGGCAAAGGACGTGTGACAATCCAATTTGGTTGTTGTTACAACTAT